AAAATCGACATCCATAGGGCATAACCTCGCTTGGCCATAAATGCTTTGTATTTCTTTCAAACCATGCCTCCAAGCTGTTGTGTTCCCTCTTTTTTGGCCCACAAGTGGCAGGGCAAAACATTTTGGACATCGCGGCAAACGTTTGTAGACAACAACGGCAAAACACCACGGCAAAATTCTGTGAGAACTACAGCTAAATTCTGTGAAAGCCACGGCCAAATTCTGCGAAAGCCCCGGCGAAATCCTACAAAAGTCAAGGCAAAATTTAAAAATACTACACCAAAAAACACTATGGCAAAAATCTGAGAAAACCACGGCGAAGTTCTGTGAAAACCAACAGCAAAAGTTTAGTTCGTCGTCACCTCGAAAGTACGACAATACGGCGGAAATAGGTCAGACCTTGCGGGGGAAGTAATCCATTGCTAGTCTCAGGCCTTTTCGGTTAGTTACCGAATCGTTCCAAGCCTACTCAGTTCTTTGCTGAAAATCAAGATGACGAAGAAAGAAAAAAACAGAGAAAAAAATTGTTATTGGTTTTACAAGGGCTTTAAGTATGAAGAGATCCGTACCTTTCTGGAAAGGTAAAGAAAGAAAATATGTCTTCTTCCGTGTTTTTTTGCCGTGACACTTGTGGGCCTCCAAAGAAAATAGCGAAAAGCGATCATCGGCTAACTTTCATAAAAATCCAATTAATAAAGAAGATTTGGGTGCAATTCGCAATTTTTCTGCCTGTTTTGGGTACCAATTTCAACATCACTCAAAAACTTGAAGTTTGTTCGCTTCACTTTAAACCACAGGACCTCAAAACATCCTTTGACGGAATTATATCATTTCCTGGAAGAAGAAAACCTTGAACACCTAAAATATGTCTGGGATATTAAACCTCGTGTTCTGACCTATTACATGCGACAGCTAATCAAAAATCAATTCATTCACGCATGCGGTTGGTCAGAACACAGATTCAGGCATTTTTTAGGTGTTCGGTTCGTGTTCGGTTCGAGTACCTGCCAGACCAACACTCAGGGTCTTTTAAGTGCACCTACACTTTAATTTTTTGCATTCTTAACTGTTTGTACTGAAATTTTTTATATATTTTGTGGTATTCTGATCACATTTGAAAAAAAAATTGAATGCGAAAACTTGAAAATTTAAAATACGAAATGTGTGTTCCATTGTCGCACAATCGAAGAGAGAGTCTGGGTCCGAGTGTGACGTCACCGCAGGCCATGACTTGGTGCTTGGTGCCTGAAAGTTAGTAAGCAAATCGAGAACTTTTGAAACACAGAATTAAGAGCTTGTTGAAGACAAATTCGTGAAGATGGACTCTGATGAGTCTGATCCAGAGACATCTTGTGACTTACAAGATCAATACGATGTTGAGGACGAATGTTTTGACTGTTCTGAGCAGTCCGATTAAGGAGAATATTTGTCAGAAGGAAACGATGGTACCTCTGAGTGGTACTAAGGACGTCATTCAGGAGAACCTCTGGCAGACGAAGAAGGGACGAGACAGTATGAAAATAGTGAACGAGAAAATGCCAAGATTGAGGATATGCTTTTCAACCGATTGACTGCCGTTAGTGTGATAAGCGAATGGTGAGTTTCTGTGCTAGAGCTGACTGGTCAGTAATACAAGGGTCTTCGATAGTGGCGTTATGATCTTGATGTGCAGTACAACTGGGGACGCTTTTAGAAGCAGCAGTGGACACGGTGGCATTTTGTAATGACTCTCTTAAAGTCTATCACAAAAAATACACTTTATTAGTTTCATAAAAAATTAAAGTAAATGTTTAAGTTGAGTTTTTTACTTTTCTTCAATTGCGATATGATTGCTGTTTCTTTGGCGAGTCGAGTTGACCAGCATATAGCGTGGGTTATACATTCACCCCAAAACTGTCGCGTTTCGGTCGAGGGATGGCCGGTTTTCCCAAGGTAGCAAGAGTTGTAAATCTTCGCTCAAATGATTCTACTCTAAAATGCACAGAACATATGCACGAGTTCCTTGTGGGCTTCCATTTCGCACGCTTCATCTTTACAAACTTGACCCAACTAGTCCTTCGCTTCTAAGCCTCGGGTCTTTCATCATTAAAAAACGTAATGCTATGAAGGGCAATCCCTTCAGGAATATTTGGAATGTTGTGACATTTTAACGTTTGGAAACAAAACATGTATATTAAGAAATTTGTTAAAAGCAAGCGTAAGTCTACAAAAATCTGTATAAAATCTGTGGTAATCTATGGTTGTGTTGGCCTGTGGTGGCGTCGAACGTCACAAGACCCAGTCACCTCTGTAATTACGGTCATGGCCAGCTTACTTCGGCTAAAATGGACTATATTTTCAAATCTTTGATAGAGCACCAAAACTTATTGTTTTGATGGATCGATCTAAAACATTTTTTTCAAAGAGCTGCTTTTGTGACTTAAAGTTTTACTCCAGATCAGAAAAAATAGGGTGAAGGTGCACTTTAACTAAGGAAAAAGTGCTGCCTTCGAAATAGCGCAGCACAACCGTGACGTCATAAAAACGAAGACAAAGGCGAAATTCGGAAAAACAAACTTACAAGTTTACTTTCAGCAGATAATTTTCACAGCCGATCGCAGTTGATCTTAGTTTACAGGGGTTATTATTGTAACTTTAAGTGAAAATAATAAAATCGGTTCGTATAATCCTCGTAGCGGTTAAACAGAATGCAAGGTTTGTCCGAATCTTTAAGCTATTCTTAGAATCAGTGCGCTGCGCTATTATATCTGCAAATGGTTAGACTTGGGAGTGGCTCGGACGACCACTTAAAATGGCGGTCCCGTCTCTCCACACTTCCTCATAACTAACCAATATCGGAGGAACGTAAAAGAACCACTGAGAACGTAAAACCCTGGCAATGTCCATCTTCAGTGCCTACACCTCATACTAATCATCTCTCATGTTTATACGTTCACAATTTCACATTCACAACTCAATGTAAAGCGACTTTGATTATACCTTTATACAAATCATAAATCACTATCATTATCATCATGTAATAGATCAGAGGAGTCTTTAAAACAAAAAATGATCGTCTGAAAGAGCAAGTACCTCGATTACCAGAAACAAATTAGAAGCGTCTTGAATCCGTCGTGAAATCTCTGGAAAAGAAAATAACGAGCCTTAACTTTTACTTAAATCAAGTCATGTCACGGTAATTCAATTTAGACCGTTTTACTTAAGTTAACAGCATTTCATTTTGCACTGGCTTACCAAACGTTGCCCTCAATGATTTAGATTGGAAGTAGATGTTAAAGATTACTCAAAATACTGTTGTGCGGAGAGTAGAAAAAATTTCAATTGTCTGGGAAAAGATAACTTGCTAGCTGATTTAAGCTGCAAGGGAAGGTTTGACCAAAGGTCAGTTGCCGTGGAGGAGATTGCCTATTTGCCAGTGTTTGTTCGTACTTTTGTTTTATGTAGATTTTGCCTGCTTGCATACCTTGTGTTGTATCTGTGCACACTACTCGCATATTTAAGCATGTAATTAGAAATCTCTGGTAAGAATCCATTATGCCAGGAGTGCATAAATTTCAAGACATGCAAGCGGTACATATTCTCAAAAGAAAGAATATCTAGTAAATAGAGATTACATCATGGTTAGTGAGCGCGTACGGTTTTTATTCACGAGTTGTGAAGAAGCAAACGAACGATCGAGTCTTCGAGCGAGTGAGTTTGATTCTTCACAACGAGTGAATAAAAACCGTACAAGCGAACTAATCATGATGTAATTTATTTATTTTATAAGTACTGAGATATTACAAGTAAAGATTTTTGGAGTTGAGAGAAATATTTATTGAACCTAGAACAATTGGTTCACTGAAATAGAAATGTCTCTTTCTAATAGTGTGATAAACTTGTAAATATAAGTATACTTAGATCAGATTTGTGTACTTGTTCAATATTAACGTGAAAACCAATCAAAAAATAACCTAATTACTAATACACTAATTTTCTTCTTTAGATATCGTTCAAAACTAGCTATAAAAGCCCGTAGAGAGCTTGGTTCGTAGTTTTCGTTGACTGGTTCTTTCTTACGGACACCAAGGACGAATTCGCTGAGGTATTCGTTGAGTTCTTTTGCAGGAATCTGTTCTATAGCCCTCGTCTCTCCTTTCGTTTGTAAAAATTCCCTTAGGAGTGCCACACCGTTTTACGGGCTCTCGATCAACTCATGGATTGAGTCGATTTGAGCAAATCTTGAGCAACAACCTTCCATGTTTAAGACCTTTTGACAACAAACAACCAAACGCAAGCTGACACAAAACTCGATACGATTTTTTTCACTAGTGAAAAATATCGTATAGCCAATCACAGTGCTGATACGATGTTCTTCACTAGTGAACAAAAACGTATAGCTAATAGGATCGCTACTCGTTTTTGTGATATGATTTTTATCAAATAGCTTGCGAACATGTAAATGTCAGTACTTACATAATAAATTTAGTAAAGGTTTGGCACTTGCTGTATCTTTGCCATAGAGTGTAGCAAAGAAGATTAAACGAATTATGTGATTTTGCTTTACTTCGACTTTTTTAAGATTTGTTTTGTGAGTACTACCCCATGCAATAACTGCATAAGATATGTAGGGATAAATCAAGTTATAGTTATAAACAAAAACAATCTGGCTCTCCTTATGAACTGTGCAGTGACCTATAATTTTTGGTAAAACAAACCAAGAAATCATCACTAACATTATTTTTGTGAGTTTTACAGCCAGAGTCAGCAACTCCCCATCCAGGGTGAGGACAGTCCTGAAGTGAAGACTCAGAGCCTGTACATGACATGTCGTCTAACCAGACTGGTCCTTGCTCTCCACGTCCATTGTGCCAGTACCATACAGCTTTAGTAAAACCAAGTTGTCTACATGCCACTTTGACTTCTTCCCAATACCAAATTACACAAGTAATCTAATATATATTTCTTATCATCAATACCATAGTAACTGTACTCCACTGTTCTCATATCCGTTTCCCACCATGGTGCACTTACACAGCTTAATTGATACTAACCAAACGTTCGTGAAACACAGATTTGAAGAAGGTAATATTAAATAACTTTAAAGATATATTTCATAAGTGTTACGAACAAGTTTATCATAAAAAATATCGACTGTTTTTCGTTTTCGCACTGGACTCTGAAGATGGCTTCAGTTCAATTGTCGAAACGTTATTCACCCCTAACAATTATAGCCTTTTTCAGGACTACCTCTTTTTCGGACGATCACACTTAGAAATAAACGTCAACATATGGGTTTAAACCATTTTTCTTAAGAACGTTTTGCTCTTTAGGTCGTGTTTGTCGATCGGCAAGAATTTATTGGCTTAAGTTTGTGGCAAAAACAATTAATAAACTGAATTTAAAATATAAATAGACATTATTATGTATTGTTAGTCAACACGACACTATCTAAGAGTTTTGAATTAGGTTCTGGAGTACCACAGGGCTCTTGTCTGGGGCCTTTGCTCTTTACTGTTTATGCTAGTAAGCTATTTGAAGTGGTCAAAGGTCACCTTCCATCTGTACACTGCTATGCGGATAATACACAGCTGTATGTTTCATTCAGTCCCAATGATGAAACTGGTCAAGATGAAGCTATTGGAGCTGTTCAAAGATGCATTGATGATGATAAACTGCTTCTTAACGATGACAAAACTGAGTATATTGTGATTGGCACTAAACAGCAACTGGCTAAAGTTCAACTCAACAGCAATACTTTGGCAATTCAGAAATAACAACTGCATCGACTGTAAAGAACTGCATCGACTGTAAAGAACTGAGGGTGTGGTTCGACTCTACACTATCAATGAACTCACACACTAACAAGACTTGCTCTACTGCATTCTACTATTTGTATAACATTAGGAAAATACGAAAATACTTGTCCAAGGAATCTACTCAAAAACTTGTCCATGCCTTTGTTACTAGCAGGAAAGATTACTGCAATAGCCTGCTATATGGACTCCCAGATTACCAACTACACAAATTTCAAAGAGTGCAAAATGCTGCAGTCAGATTAATTCAAAATGAATCTAAATATTGTAGGATAACACCGTTACTGTATAATTTGCATTGGCTGCCTGTTACCTTTCGTATAGAATTTAAGATGTTTTTGATATACAGGGTTATTAGTGGCTGTGCTACTAAATACGTAAGGGACCTTATTAACATTAAAAAAGAGAGCAGATATAGTTTACGTTCAAATAGCAATGGAATATTACTTGAACATGTTAATTTTAAAACATATAAGACATTAGGAGATGGCGATCATTTATGGTAGCTGCACCTCATTTATGGAACAGGCTGCCTTTGGAGGTCAGGACAGCTCCAAGTGTGACTAATTTTAAGAAATTATTGCAAACCTTTTTATCTAAGATGGCTTTCGCAGATTTTTAGTTATCGTTTATATCGCTAATAATTTTATACTATACTTTTTAATCATACATTTTAATATAAGTATAGTTTT